TAAATCGGTTTTTGCTTACAACTTAACCCACACAGTTCCCGTCGTTATTTTTTCCAGCAGGAAGTTTGTATTGGCTGCCAATACATTTTCATAAAAAGTGCAGTGACGTCCATTCTTACCTGTTATCGACCTGTTCATAATTATGTTTGTACCCATCACAGATTGGAAACATTTTAACACCAATTAAAAATTAAACTTATCGTTAGGTGTTAAAGTTTAAAGTTCTATTTGTAATTTAAAAGATGTTTTTTTTTGTTTTTGTTGTATGTTGGTTAGTGGTTTGTAAACAATTTAATGCATTGTAAAGTCAAAGTCAAGGCAAGGCAAGTCAAGGAAATAAATATTTCAATTAAACCATAATTTGGTACCTACTTTTGAAACGTCAACAAATACAAAATAAATAATAGTCTGTCAGTCAGTCTGACAGTGAAGCTAGGTTCTCATTCCAAAATGTAGATTCGAATGGAGAAGAACGAGCAGAAAACTCTATTCGTTACTCTTTTTAAAAAAGTATGTTCTACAATGTCCCTATACATATTCCAATACTTTACGTATATGTGAGAACAATGCAAAGATACGCTTGACGCATTATAGGTACTAATTACAAACCTTACTAAAATAAAAATATCTTATAGTCTAACATGGTGCTCACATATACATACTGACAATCCAAAGAAATAGTGCTTCTATATAAGAAAAAAGAAACTCTTTGTTTCAATAAAGAAAGAAATGCTCGATGCCATAAGGAAACTTTAATAAACATTGCACGTCGTATGTGCAAAAAAATCAAACTCGATCTCTGTCAAAATGTGATGTCTATAGTATGTCTCTCAGCTTTTACGATACCGACAGAAAGAGAGGGGATGGTGACAAATATGTATTCTACGCTACCGTCTCCAGATTTCTATAGTTTTCAAATAAAAATACATCGTATTTTATTTCGAAGCTTTTCAAACAGCATTTTTTCTTCAACAGCAAAGGAGTACAGTCTAACAGCGGTAATTTATAAAAACGTCGAAACCGGCAAAGATATTTATCAGCTATATTTACATTTAGGTTTCGCTTAAAATAGTGATTTGATCTACGAGATTAGCACCTCTGTGCGATGGGCTGATAAACATTTTGGAACAGCTGCCAAAGAGTGTAAGAATTTCCAGAGTAAAAAGAAAATGTCACCTGTATTTATGTCAACGTGTATTTTCGTATAGTTTTTTGAAAATGAATACGCTTGACTAATATTTAATTTTACTAAGAACTAACACGACATGCTTTTTATCTTATTTTATACTTCATTACGCAATTAACTCGTCGAGTACCGGTTTTGTAGACACAATTATAGAACAATAGGTTGCGGTCACCGGTGACCGCTTGGTGTTTGACAGTTTAAGAAAGGATGATGACGTAAACCTGTCATCTACTACCAGTCAACCATAGCAGTAGATGTAAAGAATATAAAGAAATATTAAACACCACACAAATAAACATACAATGTTATTTAACTCGTCGAGTACCGGTTCTGTAGACACAATTATAGAATAATAGGTTGCGGTCACCGGTGACCGCTTGGTGTTTGACAGTTTAAATAACCATGAATGCTGAGCTAAAATTTCTGAGATCTGAGGATTCAGTTCTGAGATCAACCAAAAATTTATTAGGGTCAAGACCTATTTTTGCGATACTTGAATAGGAGAATCAATAAATAGGTATATCTTTTTATACATTCACTACACAATCATACACATACAGCGATTTAAGATAGTAATAATAATAGATAATTTCTAGAACGAATTTCCCTGCGTTTAGGCGTTTTTGCCATACCTATTATTGGAAGCAAGTATAACAGCTCACACATAGGACCCACTTAGTTTTTAGTCAAATTTCCGTGGTGCTTGGCGACTGGGCTTCACCCAGTTGTACAGTCTCTTCTTTGTGCCTTTAGGCTTAATTCATTCTGTCTCCTGCAGTAATTCACCGAAGGAACTGGAAACCATAGTTTTTTCTTCTTCTCCTATTATAATATCTTCTGATACACTTCGTTGCGGGAACCTTACTTATGTCCCTGGGACGCGCCGGACTTCAATGTTCCGGTGTTTTCATGGTTGTATCTACTGTAGATCCTGGCTTACAGGAGTTGCAGCGGTTTTGGGAGGCTGTGGCGGGCGTGTCCCATAAAAAAATACAGCGATTTAAATAGCAATTCATATAATGAGTATAATAAAAGATATTAGTTCTTTTGTAGAAACGTTGACCATTTTTAAACTATAAAAACCAATTAATTATGATAACGGCTTACTCATTCAACTAGGTATATGTCATACAAGGGGCTCTTATTCATGAACAGCATTGATATAGGATGCGCCGAACGCTCCGCAACCAACTGAAAAAGCAAACATTAAATACAAAATAAAATCTTATTTCTATCTTTTCCCCAAGCTCATCTTATTTCTTGTCAGTAGCAAGCCTTAAAAGAACGACTGCGGAGTCAGTTTGGTATTTGACATGTAATAAATAAGGTGCTATCCCAGGTCTAGGATTTATTTAGCAATTCTATATTCTATTCATACTGTTGCTTTTAGTCAAAATGTGTTTTAAAAGTAGGTATACATTTCTTTGAACTATAATAGTTGTTTTATTTATTCATCGTTGCATTTTTCCACTTCATTTACTACACAGATTAAAATACAATACAATATATCTAACATATTTTTATTAATTGTATGAAATTAAAACTTCTCATTCATAAAATTGTACTAATGTTGAATAATAAATTATTCACGTCGTAATAATAATAATAATGATTATTAAAATAACAGGGTAAATACATTTTGTATGAACTGACGTGTAATATTCCGAGTTCCAAGCGGTCTTTGATGTTTCTACCCGCGTCAATCAAATTAGTACTGTTTCCTGTAATTTTGATTAAAATTAATGTTTTATGGCTATTGAATAGATAAGCAACATTTCAGGTTAAATTTATAAATTAGTCGGTAATAAATAATTTAATGAAACTTGGTTGAAATGTTCAATTTTATTTTGAAATTATTGTTTATATCTCCAATTTTAATCAAATCAAATCAAATCATGTTTATTTACTCAAACACATGTATACCTCTACATACAATAAACAATAGCATGTAAGATAGCGGGTAGCAGTGAAAAAAGTTCGAGACATGTTTGCCGTATACAATGGCGTGCAAATATAGTAGTCACTCATAATGATTGCGAACTAACCGACATCTTTCGAAAGTGGAAACCTTATTCAATATTAGACATTGATGGAATATTGACAATAATATGTCAGAGTAACCATCATTTTACATTTAAAACAATAGAATAATAATAATTAAAAAATGATGTCTACTTATTACTGTTACAACAACAACAGTAAAGGTATAATATACAATAATGTCAAATAGTATCATTTTAGCATAGTAGGTTTTACCCTCTGATATGGCGGAACTTAGGACTACGCAAGACATAAAACGTTTTGTATTGTTCTTAAATACCAACATACAAGAGGTTTTTTACGGTATGCACTGGTGGACTATAATATGGGTCTGCTTAGCATAAGACAGTTTGCTCAATATTCTACACAGGTGAAATGGAGGCCGCATTGTAAGATTTTGAGTTTGAGGGTGTATAATGTATACTTATATAGTTCCTTAGTCGTATCTTACTACACCCGTGGGTGGCTAGCTATTTTGGATAAGAAAAAAATAATAAATTAAAAAACATCATGGGACTGCCTCGCTGCCCTAGTGGTCGTAAGTGCGACTGCCGGGCAAGGGGTCTCGGGTTCGATTCCCGGGTCGGGCAAAGTATTACTGGGTTTAAAAAAAAAATCAGTAGTACCACGGAGTCTGGAATTGTGCCCGGTATATGGCAATAGGCTTACCACCTATTACATGGGACTCATAACATAAATAGTGAAAAGTGGGTGATACATTGTACAGTGGTACCTATATGTGCACCTCTGTCTACTCCTTCTAGGATAAAAGGCGTGATGTTATGTTATGCGACATCATGGGAAAAGTATAAAAATCCAATCAAAATATTATCTGTGCTATTTATCTCTGAATTTAGAAGTCTGTTGGATTGGTAATAATATAATCCATAGACTTAGATATATAAGATAATTCCGGATTAGGACGACACAGTCAGTTAAACACAATTGTTTCTCTGTAAGAAAAGATTTATTGTTCATAAAATATGAAAATTTAACAAATTTGTGTTATTACTTATTAAGTTCCAAACTATTACAAACCTGTAAGAAAAGAAACGACATTTAATGTTATTATTAACAATGCCAGTTCCTAATCACAATTATAATACTTAATTAATGAAATTAATAATAAAGTTATTGTTCCTTTCAATAAATACGTGAGCGGTGTATATTTTATTTAAATACCGATGACAGATGACATATAAACGTCATCTGTTAGATCACGTTCAAATAAAGAAATTTATATTATTTCTTTACATCTCCCCCCGTAAAGAAGATAGACGAAGATGTAATATGTACATGTATCTATAGTTCTCAATCGTATGCAGGGGCTGGTGTTAGCTTTGAAATGTGGAATAAATTCGATTCTGATCTCTTATGGTCAGTGTTTATCCTAAAAATTGAGTTGGAAATCTTTTCTATAATTTTGTACGGTCCGATTTTCAATTCATCAAGCTTCTTCCGATTCAGTTTATTTCCATTCTCTACAAAAACAGTGTCACCAACTTTGAAGTCAATGTGTCTTCTATTTTTATCGTAAATTATCTTATTATAATTGTGTGATTTGATGGTATTCTCCAGAGCTTTTTCCCTAGCTTGGATTAAATTATGGTTTATCTTGTTTTGTTTCAGTTCATTTGGTAAAATCGTAACATCTGTGCCATAAAGTAGGTATTTGGGAGCATATCCAGTAACAGTGTGCTCCGTTTCATTATATTTTTGCACACAGTTGTGGGCTACAGTTGTCCATGCTAGTTTAGTGTCGCGTTCGTTAATCTTGCACCTGATTTTATTAACCAATGTCTGGTTTAATCTCTCGTTTAATCCATTTGAAAAAGCAGAGTTTACGGCTGTAAATATTATAGGAATATTTTTTTCATCCAAAAACTTTTTAAATTCTTTAGAATTAATTCCTGGATATTGATCTGATAGTATCAATTCAATGTCATCACTCTCTGTACAGTTTTTTAACAGTTTAATGAAATCATTTGCATTTTGAGTACTTGATGTTAAAATATATGCATATCTAGTGAAATGATCCAATAAAAGGTGTAAATACTTCTTTGTAGACCTGGAACCTCCGAAACCTCCAATAGTATCAATAGAGCATATCTGAAAAGGTCTTGTGGCAGGGCCCAAGTGGGACATCAACCCATATTTAATTTGTCCCCTTGATTTATTCTTTAAACATACCGTACAGCTCTCACATATTCTTTTTATGTTTTTGATCATATTATTTGCCGTATACACTGAGCTAATCATTCTCTGCATCTGTTTAATTCCTATATGACCCAGATCTGTATGTACCCTTTTCATAAAATCTGTGCTAAATTCCTCTGATATAATAATTTTTTCTTTATTCTTTACATTTTTATAGTAAACATTGTCTTTCATCATTAACTTGTCTTTTCTGCTTTGTATGTATTTATTTTCAACTTGATCTTTTAGGATGTCTTCTAGTGTTATTATATTTACTACTTTTAACTGGTCCTCTATGTTTTCATTCGGTCCAAGTACCGGGTTCCTACTTAGGCAGTCAGCTTCAATGTTATATCTTCCTGGTGAATATTTGATTTGGAAATCATATTGTGATAAATAATATGTTAGGTCTCCTAATTCTTCATCTGTTCTAGATCTTATATTCATCTTCTCCAGCGGTTTGTGATCTGAGAATACAGTAAATTTCCGTCCTATTAACATATGTTGCCAATACTTTACACATTCTTTAATTGCCAGGCATTCAAGATAGATAGCTTTCTTCCTTTTTTGTACCTCATTAAGTTTTTTCGAAAAATATGCTACTGGCTTTTCTTCATTATTTTTTTGTATTTGTTTTAGTACTGCTCCTACTCCCAATATGCTTGCATCCGTGTATATGTGAATAGGTAAATTTGGATTAAATATTGTCAATACTGGCTGAGAGCATAATATTTTTTTCATTTCATCAAATGACTCTTGGCATGCATCAGTCCAGTTAAAGGTTTGACCTTTTCTCAACAGGTTATGAAGTGGTTCTAATTTTATGGCTATGTTTGGCACATACTTATGATAGAAGTTTATTTTTCCTAGGAACTGTCTCACATTTTTTTGAGTATTTGGAGTTGGAAAGTTTTTTATTGATATTAAATTATCTTTCAGTGGTCTGACTGAATTATTCTGTATTACATGACCTAAGTATTTAACTGTATCTGCTGCAAATGTGCATTTAGAAAATTTTAATTTTAATCCCTCGCTTTTAATCGCTTCAAATAGTTTTTCCAGATGTATGATATGATCTGAGAAATTTTCAGAAAACAGTAAAATGTCATCAATGAAACATACCGTGAAATCTCCAAGCTTGTGTTTCCGTATTATATTACACATTATTCTCTGGAATATAGCCGGAGAGGTTTTTAAGCCAAATGGCAAACAGGTCCACTGATAGTGACCCTCTTGAGTCACGAATGCAGTTTTATGTCTGTCTGTGATTCGCAAGGGTATTGACCAAAACGCTGAGTTTAAGTCCAGTGTTGAGAAAAATTTGCAATCTCTTGTCTTTAGAATTAAATCTTCAATGAGAGGAAATGGTTGTGATTGAGGCACAACAATTTTATTTAGTTCTCGAAAATCGATGCACAGTCTTGACCTTTTATTTTCATCTCTTTTATAAGCTAATGTGACTGGTGCTGCGAATGGACTGTATGATTCTTCTATTATATTTTTTTCTAATAATTTTGCAATTTGTTCTTCAATCTCCTTCTTGTCTTCTATGGTGCACCGATATGGCCTTTTGAAGCAATATTTTTCTATTTGTAGATCAATGTGTGCTTCATAATCCGTTACCCGTCCTATGTCATATTTGTCCTTCGAAAACACAGATTTATTTCTCGAAATTAATTCATCAATCATTACCTGTTTTTGATAGTCTAGATGATTAATACATATTTTGAAGTCTTCTTCACATATGTGTTCATTGAAGTTTATTATATTATCAGATTTTATCTCCTTAGAAACTGTATCTGTTTTGTTTGTTTCCTTAGAAACAATTTGGCTTCTTTGTATAGGTAATTTCTGTGAAATTTTTAAGTTTTCGTTTTGAACTAGGCAAAACTCTTTTATAAAATCAAGTCCTACTAGAAAATCATAATCGAAATTTTCTTTGTCTATTACGAAAACCCTCATTTTTTTTTCTATATCAAAGATAGCCACATCAAGTGTTATAATGCCAATTGCCTTTTTAACGCCATTAATCGTTTTTAAGTTAGTATTGGTGGAAATATTGGGTTTCTCATTATTTATTTTTAACAATCTTGAATTTATTAATGAGACATTAGACCCAGAGTCATAGATTCCATAAATTTCAACATTTTTATTCAGTACTAACTTCACTTTGATCAATGGCGGCACTATTAGTTTTTTTTATCTTCACACTGCAATTTACATTCCAATTCTGAATTGTTTACAAGTCTTATTTGCTTTTTGTCTTTTTCATTATCTAGACTTTTTTTAAACCAGCATGAATCTTCTGAATGATAGCGTACACCTTTTTTCAGTTTTTCACAAATACCACAATTTTTCATATCTGGCTTAATATCTTCTTTCTTCTTCATCATTTTTTTTCTTGAAACTAAATGTTCTAATCTTCCAAGCTCACTGAATAAATTATTTGTATGTACCATTTCTTCTTTATTAATTCTATCAGTTATAAAATCTGGTAAGCCTGCAGCAATTATATCAATTAGAGTCCCTTCATCTATTGTTTTCCTTATCTCAAGTAAAAGTTTTTCTTTTTTTATTGCATACTCTAATAAAGATCCGGATTGGTACCTGTACGATAAAGCATACTTGCTAGCAGTCCAACCTTTATTCGCATAGGTTTGCAAGAAACTTGATTTCCATTCAGACCACTCGGAGTGTAAGCTAAGTTTGATCATCATGGAAGAATACCAATCAGTGCATGACTTTTCAAGAAATAATCTCAATATTTCAATTTTTTCTTCTTCTTTTACTAAATTAAACCTTTCACATTCTTTTTCAAATACTTCCATCCACTGATGCGCACTTGAACTTTTTCCATCAAATTTCTCAATTACAAACTTTTCCGCAAACTTTTTCATACATTGCTTTTCTTTGTTTTGTTGACTTTCAACTAATTTTTCCAAAATTTTCACTATAGGATCTTCAGAGCACTTTTTGTTACCAGTAGCCATTTGTTCTTGGGTAATTTCCTCTAAAAATTGGTCCTGAAAGATCATGTTTCCATCTTCATCAACATATGTTTGTAATATATCTTGTGTTGTCTTGATCCAAACACTTCTAGTTTGGTATCTTTTTTTTAATGTGTTTTTCACAGTAAAAAAAGTTTTCGAAGATTGGATATGTTTGTGGAGTGACATCGCTTGACATTCTTCAGGAATAAGGAAAACTTTGTCCTCTTTTGTGGTAATTGCGGTTATTGCGATAAAGTTCGACTTACCGTCTATTGATTTTACTTCGAACGTAAATTTCAATTTCTCCATTTTTGACAATAAATGTCGTTTTCTAAGATAATTCCGGATTAGGACGACACAGTCAGTTAAACACAATTGTTTCTCTGTAAGAAAAGATTTATTGTTCATAAAATATGAAAATTTAACAAATTTGTGTTATTACTTATTAAGTTCCAAACTATTACAAACCTGTAAGAAAAGAAACGACATTTAATGTTATTATTAACAATGCCAGTTCCTAATCACAATTATAATACTTAATTAATGAAATTAATAATAAAGTTATTGTTCCTTTCAATAAATACGTGAGCGGTGTATATTTTATTTAAATACCGATGACAGATGACATATAAACGTCATCTGTTAGATCACGTTCAAATAAAGAAATTTATATTATTTCTTTACATATATATATTATAGGTAGGTGGTAGATATACGAGTAGCTGCTATAACGATATAATCGGGATCAATCCAGTTACAACTGCAAGACTCTTGATATAAGATTTAAAGTGTATATAATAATGTATTTTGGCACTTGAAAAGTTTATTAAACGATAACTAAATATGAAAGCAGCAATAAAACCAGAGCATTTCAGCTTCAAAACAAACAGACAAAGCGTTTATAAAATCGTTCATAAAATCAAAGAAAAACAATGCACTCTTACGTTCTTACTCTAATGTTCCAAAATGTAGTTAAACAGCAAACCTGAATCTTAACATACAGATATAAAGCTTGAAATTTAACGACACAGAGTTTGCAGGTAATTTTATGCCGTAGTAAAATGTACGATGTATCTTTATAACAATTTAGAAGGGGGAATGTAACGCAGAATTTTGTCGTAAAATAACAGTATGTAAAGAGGTAGAATTATAATAAATCTAACGATGAAATTTCTCGCAAATGTTCGCACTCGAGTGATGTACTACAATATTATTAAATTAGCTCATAAAATACACATTTATGTCTAATATGTTTGATGAAAATGTGTGTACCTAAAATGACGTAGGTAGTAGCTCGCTACCATCGCATCGCGAAGGCTATAAAGTATAAAATAATCTCGAGTATTTCGTAAATTATGATACTGCTTGTTTTCGTCTAACAAAGGTACCTATTAGTAACGGTTTGAGACACTAAATGTTCAATGAAATGTCGAAATCGAAGTTGGGAATATTAATTAATATACCTACACATTGTAGTCTAGTTGATTGATCAACTAACTCGTTAGTCTAGTTCACGATAGATTGATTTCATTGCTAAGTTAGATTCCATTATTGTAACATTGTCTTTACGTTGGTTTTGACATAATAATAATACATTTCGTGAAATTATTCTCACATTTTGATACTTATCAGTTTATCATTTATTACTTAAAAATAATTATTTTACCAACTACGTTTATAAAACCAACTTCAATCCCCTCTTTTTCAAGACGGTTAATAAATAAAACAACTAAAATCTCCTCCTAACAAACATTTTTCTGAAAACCGCATCAAAATCTATTCAACCAACCTCGAGATATACGCGCACAAACATACATACACGCAGGTCAAACTGTGAACCTACATTTTTCCAAGTCAGTTAACTAGAATTTAAAAAACCTTTGTATACCAAAGAAAGGAAAACAGTGGCTTTATAAAAGACACAAAACCGCTTCATTAAAAACCTCTAACAATTCTAACACTATTAAAAAAACAACCGTAAAAGAAACATTTCACTGTACAACACAATTAAACCGAACGAACTAAAAGGATTGCATGCACGAAAGATATCAAACGGGAACAATGTAACTCACAAACGTTTCAACCAGGCTTCAAAAGCTTTTCTATCGCTTCATAAAACCACGTTAAAGTAATCGCAAAATCCATACAAATACTATAAATGTGAATGTGTGTGTGTCTGTTTATTTGTCCGCGTTTCACCGCAAAACGGAGCGCTGGATTAACATAATTTTTTAAAGAGACAGTTGAAAGAATGGAGTGTCTCTTTCTAAGCCCCCCACTTCCCTAAAATGAGAGGTGGACGTTTATATAGAACATTGAACAATTGTAGATTTTTCGGACTATTTAAAACAGTCGCCGCGTCGCGGGTCGCGGAATGCTGCTCATGAATACGAGCCTCTAGCATGGCTTGAAACTAGTCGAGTTCTTCGTCAAATAAAAACTTGAGTAAGTCAAAACCATAATCATTTGTTTGTGACTTATACAAAATCATGCACCATCAGCTAAATCCTTAAAAGATCGCAAGCAAAGCCGCAACCATAAAAAGCTAGTCGGTTATAAAGTGCCTACTAAACTCGATGCTTGAGAAACGAGTAGCATTATTTATTTACACACATCCTGTATTGTTTGAATCTTTGAAATATCCTGAGACACTTCAGTGTGCATGCTTAACGAGGGAGCATAAAGGATTTCATATTTATAATCTTTTTGAGCATAAATCTTGTTTGGATTGTCAAAAGGGACGGCCATAATTGGAGGCATGTCGTTAAAAATGTAAGGAGTTTGAAGATGTTGGGTAAAGGAGTGTATTTGTGTTTGGTTTATTTTTGTCTTGAGGACTAAGGGACGTGGGGACTATTCAAATCGTGATGGAGATAAGGAAAGTTTCTATGACACTTTTAAGGTTTAGAAAAGTTCTTTAGAAATTTGAATAGGTAGAATATTATCAAAAACTATATTTTTCATATCTACGAATAACACCACTTGTTCCTCTGTAGATATGATTTTTTTTATTTATTAAGACGTTGACGAATATCTTTTGCTTTTGTAACTTTTAATAAAATTATGAGTAAGTAAATCTTGCAGTTTATGGAAACATGATGCATAAATGAAGACTATAACTCATTTATTACCTTAAATTCTATATAGAGAACCTAACGGGTACCGGGGCTCCGGCTCGACGTGCAGGAGAAGGAACGGCGTGTTTTTTAGCCAATAAGAGTCTGACACTCCATCCCGCCTCACCCAGGCGGGAGCAGTTATTCAATGATTTTTCCCACTTAAAAAAAGTAAATACCTAACTTACATGTATTTTTAAATAGTGAGATATGAATTCATTTTCAAGATATATACTACATTTAGAACAGATCTTTACACGCTTGCAAACATTAAGCGTTATAAAGTTAATTTGGCTTAATTGTATTTCCTAACATCACCTGTATATTAAAATATTTATGTTAGTCTATAAGGTTTATATCTATGGACCATAGTTGCCTGAAAATAACGTTTAAATAAATAAATAAATTATAGAAACAACTTTGTGAGCATTTCTCTCAAAAAAATCTTTGTTACAAGATAACTTATTTAAAAAAGCAACATACCAGACTACTCGCGAGCACAAGAGCTGATTAAAAAAAATCAACCACGCTCAATCCGTCTTCTTTTCATTTTTCAACAAGAATTATAGCGAGCAATCCTTTTCTATAAATTCAACAAATAAGTCGTATCTAAATTGATAGGTTTCATTAGCCTCGCTAGAATACAGTTTGAGCTGATCATGTAGATTTTAGTCAGCAAACTGTTCATTTTGGCCGGTAACTGATGAAGTTAATTTTGCTCGGAAAATTTCATTTCATTGAGGTTAAACGCAAACGTTTTGGTGCGTTTGATTTAATGCCTAATGCCTATGTATTTGTATGTAAGAATATTTGAGCAACTGCTGTTAAAACGTTATGTTTTCTTGAAAATTCCTTTAACCCTTAGTACCGTCATTATAGACACAATTAAAGAACAATAGGTTGCGGTCACCGGTGTCCTCGCGGTGTTTGACAGTTTAATCTTTACCTTACCTATAATCAACATAGCATATATGACGTCATAATACTCTTTGAAGATGTTGACACTTACATTGTTACACCCTATTTCATTGATTGTTATGGACCCATGGAATTGGGGGCCTACTGCCCAACCCTTTAATAACACTTTGCCCAAACCAGGAATCGAAATCTTGCTTGAGACTAGCAATCATTCAATGAACAAGCGATGTTTGACTTTTGCTTATTATACTACCTAGTACTACGAGATTTCACACAATCCTACTAATATTATAAATGCCATGTCAATGTTATGTCAAAACGGCGGAAGAGATCAGGATAAAATTTGGAATCATCATCATCAACAGCCTATAAATGCCCACTGCTGAGCAAAGCCTCTTCTCACACGGAGAAGGTTAGAGCATTAATCACTACGCTTGCTCAATGCGGGTTGGCGATTTCAAACTTATAATTAGAAATTATAAGTTCAGGTTTCCTCACGATGTTTTTCCTTCACCGTTTGTCAGTGGTGTCTAAATAATCTTAGAATGTACATATAACTCGGAAAAAGTCACATTGGTACTTGGCGTTGGTAGGTTTCGAACCCGCACCCTCATGCATGAGAAGTGGGCGTCTTAAACCTCCGGGCCACCACGACATTTTTTTTTTAATTTTTAATTTTTAAATTTGGAATACGGGTAGATAATGCTCTGGTATAACACATGACTACTTTTTATCCCACAGGTGCCTGGTTGATGCTACAGGTAGAAGTTAATTTATAATATTAGTTAGTATAGATTATGTTCCAACCCTAGAAAAAAAGTTCCGCGCGCGCCTCAAAGAGCCATCAGCCGATACGGAGCCGCGGAGGACTTAACGGGTTACCGGGGCTCCGGCTCGAAGGGCAGGAGTAGAAACGGAGTGATTTTAGTCAGTGTTTTTAGTCAGTAAGAGTCTGACACTGCCTTGGTGAGGCGGGAGAAGTCATTCGATGATTTTCACCCCTTAAAAAAAACCTTGAAAGGAGTTCCATCAATAAAATAAAACCTCACCTTTTAAACCAAAAGCAAAGAGGCAAAGAGTACACAATTTTCCCAACCCACATTTCTACCTACAAACGTAAAACTAAAACATTTTAAAAATTATATTAGATATAGTTGTCAACTTATTGCACCGACCACGCTCTCACTGCATCACCTAAAGGTTGGCTAGTAAGAATGCCCATGGCATTAAGCCCGCCTATGTACTTTTGTTGCATAAAGTTAAATAAATAAATAAATAAAATAAAACTCTCATTGAGTGCTCCATAACAAAAACTCGTATTGTAAACATCGTAAATCTTTAAGACAATAACCACGTGGCACTTTTAGCGTAGTGTTGAATTTCTATTCGTTTACAAACCATTTATAAACGAGTTGTAAACAATTAGGAAGGATGGAAGTGGTAGTGGTTATGGGAATTAAATGTTGATGACGG